GCTTCAGGTTTCCTTTAGTCTAACTTCCAGCAAAGTTTGTCCAAGAGGAAGAGAACACAAACACTGAAGCAGGAACACTTACTCCTAAGGAAAAGCTCCCATGAGTTAAAACCAAGCGCTCCATGGGCTTCCCTAACGGACTCTCCCCCACAACTCTGTAATGGGAGTAAGTTAACAGATTCACAGACCTCTTGGTCGTAGTTCCTATAGATGGCAGAATGTTCAAAATTCACCCCCTTTGCATTCTATCAAGGTCATCTTTGCATTTCATGAGAGCATAGCGTACGGGAAGTCAACTGCACCGGATATCACTCTCCATGAAGCTGCTCCAATGATAATCACTCTCAGGGACAAAAGTGTGTATCAAGATTGGTCACTTGAGTTACAGTGGCTCCAAATCCTACTAACTGCTTTCGTATCCGTGCTCTGGACACACCTCAGCAACACCATCAAACTGTCCCTCCGCCTTCACGCTAACCAACCACTTTTCATGGCTTGTCCCCATCCAAAATAAGCAATGGCTCGACCTCAGCCCCATGGAGATCACAAGCAACTGAATTCAATTATTTCCAACGCTCTGCTCAAGATACCCCTGATAGCATCAGTTATTAAAAACAAAACCAAGATCGGGAACATATTTCCTAGCAAAGAAAATTAAATGTCCATGGTTTCTGCACAAAAAGGAAATCTTATCTATTTTTATCTTGAAGAGAACACTGTCCTTTGAGGAGAACTGAATAGTGAGTTAAGAAAAATTAAACTGCTACCAGAAGTATCCTCTTCCAAAGATGTTCAGCTGCAACCATAATGTATAATAATACAGGATGATTTTTTTTTAAACCAGGTGAAGTTAAAATTGGAAATAAAAGCATTTAACTGACTCAACTGGCAAAACCTCCATTTAATTCCATTGGAATTTTGCCATCAGAGCTGTAAACATGTAGCTTTTGATAACACACGCTTAATTAACTCTTTCATATGATGCCAGGAAGCAAATATGGATGAAGCTGTACTAGAGACAAGTGACTTTCCCAGTGACAGCTCAGGGCTTTCTTGTATTTTAATCATAGTGAGATGGAGTGAGTTTTGTGCATCCATCCAGGACACAACATAAGAGCAGAAGTCTGCCCAGATGCAGAAGAATAACTGCACTTCCACAGCATCTAAAAGCTAGCAGTGTCTCAGCATGCTTTTCACTCTGGCTTTTGTATTTTTCCTCTAAGTTGAGAAAACTGCCCATGTATTATAAAAATAAGTGAAAAAGAAAAAGGAAGAAAAAAAACCCACGCCGAATCTTTGCTTTTTATATTGTTTTGCTGAAGTCCAACTACTTTCTGAGCACTCAGAAGCTGGACACTGGTTATTTGAGTTCTAGTTCATAAACATTAAATCAAAACAAGAGATGGTCAAACTAGCTGAAATAAAAATAGGCACCAGTGCTGTGAACTAGTTACAATAAAAACAGAGATCAGTGCTGTGAATAATCAGTGTTTGGGTTTGTTTTTTTCCAAACTCCTACATTTAGGCAAATATGTAAGAGAGCAAAATTGTAGTAATTTTTCTGGGATTATGTACTGTAGGGGACTGATAGCACCACGTGGCCTCATTAAGACATGAAATCACCAGCCCAGTTCAAATGGCCTGTTGGAGCTCCAATGAAATGTTAATATTGCTAACAAATACCGAGATTGCCAGAGGTGTTTCTTTTCACATCGTCAGAAAATTACACCAGATAAGGCTCCACAGTCTACAGCTAAGAAAATAATCAACTAGGAAAACTAAGTAGCAAACATCTTAGCGTGATCCTAATCCATTCACTTATGTCTACTCTGGAAAAAGTAGATCTCAGCTGGCAGCAGAGACCGAGAACTGGATCTGTCAAAAGAATGACTTACCCTTTCTCACTGAGGTAGTCTTGCTCCATGGACCAGCTCAGTGTGTCACTAGTGAGAGAATACATCCAGGAATGGGACAGCCTGGACCTGGAAGTTCAAGTGGAGGTTTCTAGCAAAACTCCAGGACACTGTCTCAGTCCAAGCACTGTTCCAAAAACATCTGGTTAACGCTTGGCAGGCTGACAAGGTAAACAAGGGAAAGAAGCTATCGGCCAGGCAAGTGAGCAGAGAAGTTCACTGACGCCAAGCTCACTCCCTGCTGACGTTTTCCAGTAAAGCTCTCTCTGGTGTGTGGTTTCTAACCAGTTCCACAGGCTGCTTTCAGAAGTCCCCCCTTCCTGCAGGGTGGGATTGAATGGGTGGTGGGCAGGAGAGTAGGAGGAAACATCTCGTCTCTCCCCACCTGTTCTCTGCCCACCCTACCAGCACCTTGCCAGGCAGCTCAGAGGCAGTAACAGGTTCTTGCAGCAACCCCAAAAGTTCGAACTCTGAGGGGAAATTACCCTACTAGATAAACAACAGGTCTTTTTTTTCCTTTTAGTGTCCATTATCTACGAACACTGCTGTTGCAGTGTTTTTTCTGTGCTTACAGGTGGAGGCTGACTTTTCAGAGTTGCTAATCCGGCACTGATTTTGAACATTAAACAGACTTGATATACAACCAAAATTCTGATGACATCAGCAAAAAACCCCACATTATTCATAAAGACTTCCAAGTGGCTGGCTGGAAATCTTCAGGACGGAACGATGCATTGTGACTCGCTGACCAAGTTGAATACAAACAAAGCTTCAGAACAGAGCCAGGGATGGGGTCGGAGCCCATTTATCCTTCTCGCTGTAGCCACTGGGAACTAAAACCTCTTCTGTCCAGAAGCAGAGCAGTTTTAGCCTGCTAATTCACTGTATGATATCTAGTTAGGAATCAAGTGAGACTTGGGAATGCACAAGAAACTTCCAATCTCCACAAGCAAGAGAAGCTGGTAAATCTAATTTTTACTTTTCACTGCTTCATTTTGGGGTTAGCTTAGAGCCATTCCTTAGAAATGAATTCTGAAAGATCCCAAGGGTCTGCCCAACTCAACAGGTATCTTTCTGCTAAATGAACTGCTACCACACAAAGTACACATCAGCATAAAATTTCAGTTCCTTCTGAAGAAATTAAATCCTCACTGACTGATAAATTATTCTATATTTTTACCTACTTTCTGAATGAGCTCCTTCCTCTTCCTTCCTGATTCTGTGCAAGGCTCCAGTTATGTGAATGTCCTAAAACCCATTTTGACTCCAAATAAACTAGCTAATTATTCTGTCTTTAAGTTTACACATAGATTCTTGAATCTTAAAATGAGATTATTTTAAGCTATAAACACTGTGAAACACTCCCAACATTTGGCATCACATTCTATGAAAATCTCCAGAGAGCTCTGGCTGACTGACTGATTATAGTTCTTGAAGTATGCTGGATAAGAGCTTGCTCTCTTACCGAGTACGAAGCTCCCCACAAGTTCTACCCACCAAAATCAGTCCTTTCTAACATCAGTTATCTTTATAGAAAGGTAAAGAGTAATAGTCTTTTTTAATGCCTTTTTACCCTTTCTGTACTCAATTGCCAGTTCTGCTTCCCAGATATTAGTATTATCAGCAGCGGGTTAACCCACATCACGTTTCATTTAAATGACTGTATCTGAGCACTCTGGGTTTTCATAGTAGTGCAGCATGAGGCGCTGGGCCTGGGGACAGCAAATACAACAGAAATTACATGCTAAATACCCTTCATTTTCCTTCATAGCCTGGCATTTTGATTCCTCCATTCCCAAAGCCCCAGCAAAATATCCTGTGTGCTTAAACCGTCCCTGCCTGAGAAGCCATTCAAAATATGCTAGCATTAGTATGGAAGCAACGACCCTGAACCTGCATTCAGTCTCTCCCAGTCACCATTTTTAAGTCAGTTTCTTGCTTGCCGTCTCCTCCAATTTTCTTCCCTACTTGCCTCCCACTCCCTCATTCCTCCTTCTTTCAGGACAGTGCCTGTCTTTGCTCAGTTGGAGCAGGCAGCAGCATGACTGAGAGGCCGGTACCCTAAACTTTGCATCTTTTTTCAAGGGGGTAATTAGAATTACAGTCTTGAGGGGAAGAAAGGACCCCTAGACTACAGGTTCACTCAAAGACTTTCTTTTGAGAACAATGCTTTAACTCTGGTCATCATGGCTACTGCGAAGTGGAACTATTAAGCTCCTGAACTAAACAGCCTTCACAGCAATTAGTTTATAAAATCCCAGTCAGCAGATTTCTAGCAGCAACACCAATTCATTGAGTTTGACTATATCACATTTGTCTCTTGGGTTTTTGGTCACTTGCTCATGTGATGGTTTCAAAGCACTTTCACAATCACAGATCTACCCAGTGCTACCTCTGGGAGGGTAGCGCTACTCCAGTCCACCAAAGATTGCCAGGGTTGCACAGAGAGAGAGCAAATCAAAACAAGGAACTTGTTTTGTTACTCAAGAATGCTGGTGGAGGAAAGGAGAAAGGGATCTAGCCTACACACAAGAATACAGAAGAGAATTCTTGTAAATGAAGTTAATTGTATTACCTCTCTCACCTCACTATTTCCTCTCCATTACCCTCTCAACTCCTCATAAACTAGGAATTTTTCCCTCTTCTTCTCAACCTTGCTCCTTTCAGACAACAATAACTTAGAAATATTCAGACTGACACATTTCAAGTTTAGCAGAAAAGCTCAATCACCTATCAGTTTTGCAGCTGAGGTCTCCAAAAACTACTTTGCTTACACATTCAGAGCTCCAGCTCACTCCAGAGGCCTACTAAGATGAGAGCATGATGTGATGGGATGTGCCCCATTAGGTGTCACCCCTCTTCAGCAGTTCAGGCATTAAACCTCTGTCTGCTCCTGCCAGATCACACTCCGCAAAGCCTGCATCTTCCTGACTGAGAGTCTGCAGAGCTTTCACTAAGGTCTGTGTTGAGTTCACCAATCCTCTAGTGGGAAAACTGCTGTTCTCGCGTTTAGACAGGAGATAAAAGCCACCAGAATGTATCAGGAGCGGGAAGTACACCTTTTTACATGTGAAGTACGAAGCCTACCTCTTTCTCCTGGTCTTCCTGGTTGACCAGGGCTTCCTGGAAAGCCTTGCATGCCCGGTGATCCTTGTTCACCCTGTGGCCCTGGAGCCCCTGGCCGACCTGGCTCACCAGGAGGTCCTGCGATGGTTCGCGTTGAGACAGACTGGCTTGGAATCTGGTTCAGAATCGAATTATATCTTGCCATATGACCTGTCAGGAAAAAATATCCTCATTTTCCAGTTGCAGTGGAGAATTTGGTTCAGCTAAGTTTGAACAGAGCACTGGCAGGTCCTCAAGCCTGTGGTCTGTCATGCTCTGACAATATGAAGTTTTGCTCTTGTTAGTGGATAAGTGGTGGTTTAGGCAGTACACAGAAAAAGGCTGTTGTGTAGAATTTTATTTCCTTGCTTTGATGTTTGTTTTTTTCTTTTATTTTATGCCTATAAAAATGTAAAATTGTCACAGCAGAAGCTTCTGTGTACTATAATAGATTGGAGACAATTCAGGATATTTTTTAGCTGCTTGATGCTAATCAGCTCTAATGGGACATAAATACATTTGAACAAAAATCGAGTTGGAACATAAATCCTGACTGTAGCCTAAAATTAATAGGTCCCTTTGGATGCTCTGAAAAGCATCATATTTGTAAGCAATTGTGGCAGGAAAAGATCCATTCTAGAGACAGAAGCATACGAACTGTCAATGTGCTCACCCTGGATGAGTTGTTCACACACTTGCCGAGCAACAGCACGCACCATGGCTTGGGACTGGAGATCACCCTGTGTAACAACAGCAGCAGCAGCTTCATAACACCGTTTTTTGCATCATTTCTGTCTTGAAAACTCTTAGAGCAATGAAGGACATTTATTATCCCTGGGAGATTATATCATCAGAGATGAGAAAAAAGCCAAAGCAGTTTTGGGATTTCCCTGGTTCCCATTACTGTCTTTAGCCAGCAAACAGAGGTCTGAGAAGATAACCCTAATGAGAGATTTGGGGACATGCTTAATGCCAAATACTTCTCACCTTCAAATCATTAATGTAGCTAGATATAAGTCAACGTCTAGAAAAGACGGAAAATTTGCCTGATTGCACAGAGAAAACTATTCTGCCTGTAAACAGAGAGAAACATTAATTGCTGGAAAAAGGGTTTTTATGAGACAGAAGGCCAGAGAGGAAAAAAAATGGTGGCAAACATGAATATAGACTTACCCGCTCACCCCTCTCACCCTTAGCTCCAGGAGGACCCTATGGAAAGATTCAATACAAAATTAATTCTCATTTTGTTCTAGCTCAAAATTTTTAAACCCCTAAATATTGTCTCTCTTGTAACATCACAGTAAAAGGAGAAAAATGAATCAAGGAACAAGGTTTCAGGATGTGACAATAACAAATACCCTTTTTTCACTTCAGTGTTCATCAGAATGTTCACCTTTGGCAATGACATGGAGACGACGACTTCCTCAGGGGTTTGTCACATACCGAATTCTCTTGTTTAAAGTGGCAGCAAGGGCAGGCCACATGGCATTTCACATCCCTGAAATGGGTCTAATTACGACTGAAGAAGAGAAGGCTGATATGAGACAGAATATCGGTCGGAGATTTGTAGCATTTGCTGCACCAAAGCTCTGCATCCACTAGGAACAATTTGTCTGCAGCATTTGCAACCTCACAAGTGGAGATTTTTGGGGTAGGGTAGACATCCCTCAGGAACTCTGAAGTGAGGAAAGGTCTGCCTGAAGAGGTAAACAGCTGACTGATGGATGGTTAAAGCACAGCTTACTCTATTCTGGGTAAAAAGAAAGTCCAACAAAGACTGCAAGATTATGTCTAGGCCTCTTCTATGAATTTGGGAAAGAGAATTATTGAAACCCAGTAATTTTTCACGTACCTAGCTGTTTTTTCAGAACTACTAGAGTCTAAACACTCACAGCAGAGGTCTTACACGACTCACAGCAACCTCAGTACTCTAGGAATTTTAATTCAATATCTGGAACACGTATTTGAGCAGGAACTGTATAGGCAGCATGTTATATGTTGATAGTAATAAGTTCCATAGCTCATCAAATCTCCTTAGTAGATTTCATGATTACACTAGAAACTACGCGGAAATGGGCATTAGGGTATTATCTTTGCTTATATATTATCAGTCATTTCATTTCCACTTAACCAAATCAAAATGCTTGCACTGGACTAAATCTCCAAAGCAAACTGAATTTTGGGGGGAGAGGGGGAAATACCTACAAACCGAGTCATAAGTACACACTGTCACATTCTGATGCCTTTAAAAATTAAATAGAACTTTCACTGGAAACAAATTGAGCGAGCAGGCTTTATAATTAACTACGCAGTCAAGTGTTAAAATGTGTTATCTAAACTGTTAGAGAGAAAAAGAGATCCACTGTAAATTTTCTCTTTTACATAATTGACACAGGCATTTTATAGTTGTATTCCTTTCTTTTGGTTAAACTGTTTTTTTTAATAATGAATTAATATCTAAAAGACAAACTTAGCATTAGGGGTATCCAATAACTTGCTTTCGGTACAGAGGGTGTAATTTTCCACTCAATGAAACTGATGGTCACATTTATAGCATTACAGAAAAATCCACGATTATTAGTCAGTTGCCTTGATGTAAACCCAGAGTAACCACGAAAGCCAGTTTTTTATACATGCAATATTTTCACAGTTTGAAAACTGGAATCATGTTTTGGAAATATTAAGATGAATAAATGGTATATTTTAATTTTCTGAGAGTTGCTTGAAGTACAAAGGAAAAAAAGGAGAAAGCAATTACACACAGACTATAGATTCACATGCTGTTATGTTTTTAACTTGTGTGTTTTCATCTTGTGTTTTGACTCTTTAATCCCTATATTCCAAACACTGCATGTAAGATCAACAAATAAATTTAATTATGAAGAATAAACAAAGAGAGAGCCATATGATGTTTTCCTTAGCCACTAACTGCAAACAGATCACAGGCTCTAAATATTGAGGAGTTCTGTACAACAGTGAAGCCAGGATCAAAAACCAGCTAATGCACAACAGCAAATATGGAAATATTAATTAATTTTACTCACTGGAGCTCCAACATCACCCTGTGGCCCCTGGCTTCCAGTAACACCTGGAACACCCGGAGCACCAGGTATGCCCTACATTGGACGAAGAGAAAGAAAATAGTGGTGGTGACAATCAACATCCATGAATCCTGATGAGAAAAATAACAGTGTGGTGGAAGAAGTACACAAAGCAGACAATACACAGAGAGTTCTGCCAGTCAGAGACTGGAGATGCCGGAAGAGAGGACTAAGAAGTACATGTTGCAAGAAAAAGAGCACCAAAAGCAAAGCTCTGACAAAAACCTTGAGAAAAATGGTATTGTGTTGCTTGCTTTCTGGAAGAGGCACAGCTTGCTGAACCACGAGATTAAACCTGTGATGTTACTACTGTATTCAGGAGGGATGACTCAGAACACTTTGTAAAAAGAACAGGATTGCTTAAGAACACTCAATACAATCAGCAGTTTCACCTAATGTCTTTCATCTACCAAGAAGGCATTAACTTTACCTACCTGCTCTAGCTAGAAGGGTGAGACTGATTCTGGAAGCAACATATGTCTTGCTTTGAAGGCTGAATGTGGCCTCTGCTGTCTGCCTCGATTACTCAATGAGAGCATTTGAATACCTGCACTCACCTCCAGCCTTTAGACCAAGCAAAACTGGTGGTTCACTTCAACTAACAATCCTAATTGGAATTTCTTACAAAAAGAAAGTCTTGTTTCAAATGTTAGGAGCACTAATTCCTTCTATATGGCGCAGTTACTTGACTAAGAACAAGCTATCAATGTGTTGTTGGAACAACTGTCTCCCCTTCCCATGGGAGATGTTTTTTCTTGAGCTAAACGAGAGTGGAAAGAAATTACACTGGGCAAGCAGCTCTCTGCCAGCTCTGTGCATCATGAGAATTTTAACTTCCAAGGAGAACCCTTGGCCTTGGTCTATCCACTGAAGCCTAGATAACAGAGTGACCTACAATCCCCCCAGATCCTGCTGACTTTTACAGTAATAAATTGCATGGGCAATACTCACCATAGGGCCAGGAGGTCCTTGCGGGCCTGTGGGTCCATCTTTGCCAGGAAGGCCCTATAAAAGAAAGATACATTCATTTTTACCAGCTCTTTATATATACTTCATGAATCTGTTCCATTTCATCTAGAAGACTTTTTTTTTCTTTTTGTTCTTTGTTTTTTCTTAAATTAATAACCTGTGGTAGTGTTTTCTTAGAATAAAATTCCCTTATTTGTCCTGGGGAGCGTTTACTTTTGAAAAGGAGCTATAGTGTCACTAATATTAAAAAAAAACCAACAAAAACAAAACCAAAAACCACAACTAGACTCAAAATACTTTTGAAGAAGCAGCAACACAAAACTCTTTGCACTGGCAATTTTTACCTCTGAGTGAACTGCACTTGTAACGCTGCTGTAGTGCAGTAAATGAGAGGGTTCACTGTCAACCTTCTGTACTACAAGATGGGTCACACTTCCACATCTGTCCTCACCAGTTGCAACTATTCACAGTCCCACTAATCAAGTGCTGAAAGATGGCAACTGAGAGTCTACCTCTCTGCCCAGCAATGCTGTACATATGTACTAGCTATCACCGAGGTCCTGATTCAGGAAGCATCAGGAATGCTCATGTGGTTCACATTATGAACGTGCTTCACAGCTTCCAGAAATGAGAGCCAAAAACTAAAGATAACTTGGAAAGCAAGCAAATCGTAGAAAAAAAAAAGACTGACCAGATGTAGAAGGAAATACACTATTAATAAAGTATTCTTGCAAATTAACCAACATGCACATTTTGTATCCACATGCTATATATAGAGCAGAGGTTTCTGACCAGCCTGGTGATAAGTCAATTCTTTAATTACTACACAGCCTAAAAAGGAGAAATACGACCTTGTCTCTGGTACAAGACCAGAATATGGAGGTGAGAGTAGAAGGAAAGAGAGGGTTTGAAAGTGTCTGTGCTGACACACACAGTATAGACTATTCTAGGCCTCAGCATCTCATAGAGCTTCAGAAAAAACCCACAACTTTTTCATTTTGTACTTTCTTTCTGAAACTATTTCTGACATGGTTTTAGTAATGAATATACCATGAACTACTAGTTTTAGGCTTTACATAATGTGTAACCTATGATTCAAACCTGCTAACATATGGCATAAAAAAAATGGTTGGGGAGTATTATCTGCCATGTACCTGGAAAGGATTTTTTCCAGATTCCACCAGAAGGGTGTTTCGATGAGAAGATAAGCCACACAGTCAACTCACATTGTCATCTGTGCATCCTTAGTTTTGATAAGGAAACACTTTTCCTATTTCACAGTGTAGCCGGATGGTTCCTGAAGCTTCAAGGAGCAAAGCAGCTCCCCTGTGAGAGGAAGACCTAAAGCAAATGTAAGAGCTAAGTGGCACTGAAATAAAGACACTAGTAGTGTCTCCATCACGGCAGTTTTAAGACATTTACAGAGAAAAGTTTACAAGACTAGCTCAATTACGTAAACTGGCAAAGGAAAGTGTGTACAGTCTTCAAAAGTGGTGTTTCTAGAGGAAACAGAGAATGGTACAATGAACTTTGAAATGCATTAAAAAAAAACCCATAAAATAGGGTTCCTGATATTCTGGAGGAAACATTTAGTTGCGAACAATGTTCTGAAAAAATCAAGGATAGCTCTTCACAGTTTTATAACGACATGGAAGTCCCTAAAAGATAACGCAAACTGGACTTGGTTTTGCAACACAGAATCATAGAATCACAGAATGGTTTGGGTTGGACAGGACCTTAAAGACCATCTAGTTCCAACCCCCCTGCCATGGGCAGGGACACCTTCCACTAGACCAGGTTGCTCAAAGCCCCGTCCAGCCTGGCCTTGAAGACATGCAGTAAGACCTTCAGGAAGACTGACACCTTCCTATTTGTGGTTTACACTTTGAAGCAAAGATTTAAAATCGGCATTTATTTTTGATCAATCCTAAAGCAGGATGAAAATGAAGAGGAAGGAAATGGAGAGCTTTCCACTGACTTCTAGAATCTAGTGTGGATTCACACAAACCCCTAAGGAAAAATAATGCTGTACGTCCCTCCCTTCTCCCAGCTGAGTTGAAGAGTAGAACTAACAGTGATCAGAGCTACTACGTTTTCCTTGAATATGCTTCATTGTTTCTTTCTTCAGAGCCTCATTTTTACTCTTGACTGCTCAAGCATCATGTCCTGTCTATTCTCCTAGGATCCATTTCTCTGGGCACTGCATCCATATCTCTTGGTCACAAAACTCGCCTCCTACTGTTTATGTTAGATGTGAAAATTGCTAATTATAAATGAAGTCAAAGAGAGGTTCAGTTCAAGACAGAGCATGGCAATACCTATTCTCTCAGGCAGATAAAAGACCAAAGGTAGTTGTTTGTGCTTCCAACAGGGTTTGAAGATGATGTTATTCAGACCACCTGATGTCCAGAATGAATGTGATACTCATTCTGAATTTGTGAGTAGTAAGCAGAGGAGATTATTAGGTACCAGAGAATTGGCAGGAAGATCGGGAATGTATTTCTTCTGGCTCTTTCTCCATTATTATTGGTCTGTGTAATGTAGAAGAAAACAGAGCACTGTGAGAATTCACAAAGTTGTATTCAGAGCACTGCAGCCTTAAAGATGTTATTCATTCTCCCATTTATTGAAGTCTCCAATGCTTAACCATCTCCAGAATGACTGAGGAATTACACAGCAAGACAGCACTTTCTCACTGATGCTCCCACGTCCGGGATAGGAATGGCTGTACAGAGCCACTGAATCTCCACCATGGAGCTGCTCACTCAACAACAGGATGGGACAGATTTTGATGTGTGACCTCAGGTGCAGGCAGGTTAAGAATGAAGATGTATATTATTTTTGAAGGTTAACTTAAATTAGGACATATTTTGCTAATGGCATGAAAAACAGTTATGGAGAAACAGTGTAGCTATGGCAGAATTTTTTATAAGGGATTTCACTTGCCAGAATACAAATGGCATCACAGAATGTGGGCACCACCTAAAACCCTGTAAAATCTCAAGTCAATGAAGACTGCAGCTGACTTCACTATAAACTCTTCAGCTTTTGGTCACCTGGAATTTATTTGGGGTACTTGTGGAGAAGTGATTTTTCAAGTAGGACTAGACACCAGCAAAACCTTAACTGAAGCTACTGAGCCCAGGCTTGAGAGACTTCCATGTACAGCCTTTAAAAAAGCACACTGCAGCTTGGCACCCCTGACTGCATCATCTTTTTTTTTTTTTTCCTGGTGAAAAATTAAGAAAAAAAAAATCCTCCTCTCAAGATAAACCACTGTGACCATCAGAGAAATATTATAAAACACCAACTCAGTGAATTAATCTGAGATCTAGCTTGCAAAAGATTTTGCACCAACATGAGCTATCTTATAGAAGTGGGTTTCCTCTGCTTGGCAAGCTTATTGATGTCTAAACTACCTGACCAGAGGAAAAAGAGATGTAACCAGACTCTTCTCAGAGGTTCACAGCGACAGGACAAGAGGGAATGGACACAAGTGGAAACAGGGGAATTTATCATTACATGCTAGGAAAAAAATGTTACAATGGAGGACATCAAGTAAGTACTGTCACAGTTTCCAGAGACATGGGATCTTTACACTTGAAGGTGTTCAAGACTCAACTTATGATGGAGCTGAGCAACCTGATCTGATCAGACCTTTCCTGAACACTGTTGGAGTAGATGACCTGTGAAGGTTTCTTCCAACCTTATTTCCATGACTCTATAAATCCCACTACAAGGGCATGCACTTAAACTGCAATATCTGATTTACTAGTCTAGCTGCAGGCTTTGTGTCTCACAGATGGTCTCTTTGCCTTTCTGCTCTGAACAGGAGCCATCAGAAGCTGAAGAAATGTTTAAGAAACTGAATCATCAGCTAGAAGTATCTTACTGCAGACCAGTGTCTTCAAGCAGGATAAGGTAGCTTTGGTCACTCCTTCTGGACTCCAATCTAGCTGCAGCGGCTGAGCAAAAGAAGTCAATCACTTGCCAGTTTATGTCTGTGGTCCCACCCCAAGCAGACATACAGGGAAGCATATCCAGCAGAGCTTCCTCCAGAAGTTTTTAACCTGCTAGGGAAGAACCATGCCTCTTTGCCAGAAAGAAGCTTGGCCAGGAGAAGACACCCCTGAGGAAAGCGCCAGGCAACAACGAGCAGTGACAACGTCACAGGCACAGGAGGTGCGAAGTTAGGAGTCAGAACGATGGAGATCCCTCCCTACGTTGTGTCATCAAGCAGGCATGCTTGTCGCTCAGGATGACAGGCTTCTCTTGGTGCAACAGGGTAGATCTGTCCTCTCAGGTAGCCTGCACTTCCTAAGAAAGAACAGGGATTGCAATTGTGTCCTGACCTTGGACAGTAGCTGTGGAGATATGGGAAAGGGAAGACTTTTCCCCTTTCTACCTACACATCTAAACAAGGGGCGGTCTCAGTCTGCTTCCAAACTTCATACTCTTGGCTCAAAGAGCTGAACCAAAAGCACAAGAATAATTGCTGTCCACAAACTCACCAGAAGCTCGATGTCACTTTGGATTCTCTCGCATGTGCATTTCAAGCTCATCTTTCAACGTAATGTGCTCGGGAGAGTTGGCGGAGAAACATAATCTGTTCTTTTTAGTAAAACCACTCTGTTGCCAGCTACAAATGTGGGACAGTAAAAGAGGGCACCAAACAACCACAGCCCCAGCCATAAGATAAAAAGAACCATTTTCTATTTTATAAAATCTTTATAAAACCTTTATGACACTCTCTTATAACTGGAAGACGATGAGAAGGGAGGGGACTGCTCCTGGTGTGCAGTCTGAAATGTAGATTCAAAACACTTACCAGACAGGTTTAAAAGTGTTATCATAGATCTTCAGAAAGTTTGCTTTATTATCAGGCAACACCTTTTTTTTTTACTCTGATTCAACCTTCACACGGTATTTTTATTAGATCCCACTTCTTTTTTTTCACAGTGAGGGTATTTCATTATGAAAATGATCTTTGTATGAATTCACACAACTGACAGGGGATATGCTCTCGTTCTTAATGAGGTACTAAAAACCATGAAAAGCAAATAAACCAGAGACTAAAAAGCAGAACTTCAAAAATACAAGAAGACCCTTTATAAACTAATTGTTGAATTACAACATTAAGAGGGAAAAAAAAAACATTTCTGAAGTGGTTTCAACAATAAAAAAAAAATGCAAGAAATCAAAACAAAAAGGAAGGAAAAAGAACTGTAAAAGTGAAGTGATTCCAACTACCAGCAACTGGAAGGAAAAAAATCTCCTTTCCAGAAGTGCTTGAGTCTAATATCACATTATCTCCAGTTCAGCAAAGCTCTCAGAGATCTCCCAATAAATATCAGTCTCTTGCTTACCTCCCATTAAAATCAGTGTGATTTAGCCACCTGTTTAAGTACTTTACAGAGGTACCACTAATTACCCTTAGTTTTAATTATTAAAATATTTCAATAAACAATAAATACAAATGAGGAAATAATGGCCAAGCTAAGAATAACATAGAAAATCTCAGTTCTAGCAGTATAATAGCTGCAAAACAGTTTGGCATCTGGACTAACAGGAGGAAGCCCAACAAAGGGAATATTATACAAAAAGGCAATTTACTTTTCAGGAATTTTCCAGTTCCCTTTACTCTTGCTGCAGCTATGCCCTTTAGAACTATGCCTTTTGCTAGTGCTTAGCCTTCAAAGAGACTGCAGTGAAATCATTGGTTTGAATCTTCACCCATTAAAAGCAATTTTACATTGTCATAACTTCACAGGAATCAAATGAGTTACACCACCATAAAATTAGTATAACATCATTATTTGTTGCCATAGAAATAATTGCTGCTGGACAGCATTGCACAAGGGTCACACAGAGGCAATAACAAGCGAGCAGACCTAATTTTATGAGATCTAGGCTATTTATCCAGCTTCTTTGATTAACACCAGCAGAAAGTGAACACATGAACCAAGCATGATTACCATATCCATAAAAACTGGCAATTTATGTAATTGCCCTGCCTTATTATAGACAACACTGGGCTCTTCTACAGAGTAAGCACTGCATGACCTTTTCCAGGCTGTACCAAAAGCCTTTGCTGCACTAGGCTTCCCTCCAGCTTTTCCCAGAAATGCCATCTCTCTGCAACAATCTGCTGACTTCCATGTGGGAGAACTAGATCAGTTCTGACCTGCTGGCTGACATCAAGACACAGCTGAGGGCCTCCACTGCTAAATATAAAGTTAGCTACAGAATAAAGTAAAACCATAGGCTTCGCTTCTCTCCGAACTGCAGGATGCTCAGTGTCCCTCGCGATGAGGAATACAGAAAGAGGAGGCACGTACCACTAGGACAGCATCTAGCACCAAGTCACCTCAACCTGGTTATGACCAAGATCAGACAGCATGGTGGCAAAAATCTAAATGTCCATCAGGTTCCAGATCTTTATTAACCTGGAGATCAACAGGTGACACCAAGCTTGGTGAATTTAGGGGAAAAAAATGCCAATACAGACAAAAAGATGACATTAAAAACATGTAAAAATGAGCCACCATACTGAAGAAGGGATCACGGTATTATAAAGTAGGAAAAGGAATATATTTACCTTCATATTTCACCACAACTTAATTGAAGATTAGAAGATTAGATTCATCTGATTAGAAGGTTATTCATCTGATGAAAATGTTGTGTAAATCTTTCTCTTAATAAAATGACTATCTGTGTGTTGCCCAAACTCTACAGTAACTTCAGTGGAATTGCTTCTACACATAAAGGCATGCCAACGTTGAAATTCACCACAGTGAGCCCAAATACACGTTTCACTATATGGAATATTTTTTTTATAACAGGGTCTCAGGTTAATTCCAGAAATCCAAAGAAGGCCCAAATTTCTCTGAAGTTCAAATTACATTAACATATCCAAAAAATGATCATGAATATGTAAATCTCATTCAAGTAAAACTGAAAAGTCATGTTTAATAATGGCCTTCTGCTGTCAACAGTATAGTGTTAACAGAAACTTTCCAGAGCCTGTCTAATAATGAAACAAATGTCTCTCCAAGGAGGCAGAGAGGAGGTCTTACAGGTTTAACTACACACATGAATATGAAGAATTTTACCAGTTCCTAGACAGACTGTAAGTATCTTCATTTGTTCTACCAGAAGCAGAATAAAGTTGACTAGATTTTGATATTATTCTTCACCTTTCCCTTATGTCAGCAGTTTCTACAGGTATCATTTTGCATTCAATATTAAATTCCTTTGTCATTGTCTCTGTTATTCATTAATTGGCTAGAAAGCAAATTGAGATCATTGCATTGGATTGCATGCTAATTATGTACTATTTAACCACCACCTAATTTTAAACGTATAAGCACATGGTCTAATTGTCAGTGCTGGACACTAGTGGAATCTACTCCTATCAAATGCATTAAACACAGAGTGCACGGCTCCTCATTCCTCGTCTAGTATTTCTCAACCCTGACCTCGACGAAGGTAGGATTCTCCACCCTATCTCTGTCTTCTCTGTGGACTGACACAGAGATACGGGTATCCAGAAATGATAGAATACAAGTGACACCAACCACGCTGGGAAACGTATCCATTACAGAATGGAAATTCATAAAACAAATGCAAAACATGTTCATTTTACCTTACCCTTTGACCTTGAGCTCCATCTCTTCCAGGTGAACCTGATGCTCCTGGGACACCCTAAGCATTATAAAGGGAGGGCAGATGATGAGATCAAGTTAACAGAATGTCACTAAATCACTTTCCAGTGAAATTGTATGAAATGCTTTTGGATAAATGGAACTAGGGGGTTCAATAATGTGTGGGGCCTTAGAAAAAATCAGTAAAGAAGGTAAATTGGAATACAATCTCCAAACTAAATAGCAGACATCAAACCGAGTAAGATTTACTGAATACTGCATCTGTTTAACATGCCAATCTTGTAAAAGATGGCATCAAAAAGTGCATCATTAAGTGCCTGATCTGTCCTCCTAGATAATTCCAGGAAGAATTCAATGGGTTTAAAATGAAAACAAGCAAATGCTAATTATTCACTGTGTAAGCAGAGATCCAAGGGTGGGCAGTTTCTGAATTTATGGAGACCCAATTTCAGTGTTTAACAAAGTCAAAAAGGTTCTTCAGGCCCTGAATGATTTGCTCACTGCCCACCAGCATACCTGAGATTCCTGATTCTAAATCTCCGTTCAAATTCACCCCAACAGACTTATCAGCAGTTTTGAACATGTGTCCTAAACTCACAATGATATCAATTCAACATTCAGACTCAGTAAGTGACAGGTTAAAAAATAACTTAGGGAATACCTGCAGGCCAGGAAAACCGAGATCTCCCTTCTCTCCCTTTTCACCTGGTGGCCCCTGCAAATTAAGAAACACACACAGTAAACCAAATACATGGTTACTTTCCTATTTTTAATAGTTCTTTTCAGCTTCTTTAGAAAAAAACAACCAAGCAACCAATAAGAAAACAGACTATTTTTCCTGTTGAAAGCAAATGTACAGACTCTATCTGCAAAACTGTAAATGAAAAAATTTACAAATACAGAAAATAAAACTCATTTTAAAAGACTTGAGAATGAATCTGACAAAACTACAGCCATTATGTTACCAAAAAAAAAAGGTATTTATTTTCTCTTCTCCTCAAAGGAATCTGTTTCTCTTCAGACCTTAGAATTCTTTCCTATAATGATGAAACCAATGGATTTCTATGGAAACTAGAAGTGTTTCTACAGTGCACATGCATGACAAAGGCAAACTTACCTAGATAATAAACAAATTGTAATTACATTTTATGCAGAAACACAATTTCTCTATCAAATACCTATTCTAATAATTAATGTATGTATTATTCAGTGATGAGAGCATCACCAAGGATATACGCTTCTGGTAAATCACCTCATTATATTGTACAGCAGTATTCTGTACAATATGGACAGGGTAAACAGAACAAAGTGCATTATACTGTAGAAAATTTTTTTAACAGACAAGCAGAAAGACATGCATCTGCTACCTTTCAAGGCTTGTGTGTACCCATCAACCAGAGATGTGTATAAAACAAGATCAGTGCTGCTGGTTCCTTATCCTACCAACGTGTCTGTATGATGAAATTCTCAGGCTCCTTTCGCAACAGCATTGCAAACTAATCATCTCCTCCGATGACAGACTCTGTAAGCGTAGTGAACACTATTGCTTAACTTTGGCAGCAAATATGGTGTTCTTGCTTGGGTATACCTTTCAAGTCAGAACTGGTCTGCGATGAGCAATACCACAACCAGAAAAAGATAAAATACTAACATTTTGTTTGGGGCCATGTTACAACCTCCACTGCAATTTTTTTAACTTGCCTCCAGGCTTGGATGCTAATACCTGGGTCATATTCAACCTGTGATCAAATCCCTTCAGCTAACTAAGATTTCAGATCCAAACAAAACCAGGAATGTTGGCATTGAACCCATGTCCACTATAGGTTAAAAACAAATCTGTGATGTCACCTCAAATATTGAAATTCAGATTCTGATCAAGACACCAAAAGATATGTTGGTTTAGTCTAAGATGTGTGCTGTTGAAAACATCACAGGAAACAACGCTATTGATTTTATAAGTCTCACTGGAAGTCCTTGAATAGAAAGTCCACTGGGTCCTTGTGGTCCTGGAGGTCCTTGAGGTCCAGGAACACCAATTTCACCTCGAGGTCCATCTGGTCCCTAAAGTAGCACAGGACGTAAGTTAAACTCTTATCATATGGACAAATGCAGCTTCTGTTTGTAGAATTAAATACCAATAGATTCAAAAACATCTGAAATGTGGGTTAACATTAGATTGAGCAGTTAGGGTTCAATTTAAAACTGCCTGGTTCCTTTATAAACACACAAAAAAATGAAGATTTATGCTGTGACAGCATATGAATTTTATATCTTTTATCAAGGAACAAACAGCACAAGCAACTGTTATGAAAAGAGACACACCAAACGCCAGTGGCATTTCACTATGCGTTTGCTTCGGCGACATCAGAGACAATCTGGATTTCATTTTGAGGTTTACATGCAGCAGAAATAAACCAAGAACGTGTGCATCTTACAGCCGTAGAGTGCTGTACAAAGTACCTTTGGACCTGGATCGCCACGATGACCTTTGGCACCTCTGACACCTGGACCACCCTGTGAAGCACAAGCACAAGACTTGCTGAAAACCAAAACTCTCAAACAAAAATGAAATCCAGAGAAGCCCAAATAATTTTTCTTGCTCCTGAATCAGTGTTCAGGAATCAGTGAATATCCTGTCCATATCTTTCCACTGGAGTAATTAATCTGAGAACATACTTAAGTGTGGCCATACAGAGGAACAGATTTAAACAGATGTGACTACTTTCCACAGCCAAGAATGCACACCATGTAAGCATCAACATAACACTGAAAGCTACCACAGGGATGGAAATGTATACATGTGGTCATGGGTTCCCTTCCAGAAACCTACTGCACATCTGTCTGTTCTCACCAAAATCACCACATTGTTAAAGGCTGAGTTTCCAATGTCTCAGGAATGCTTTTCAGCAAGGACAACTCCCGGATGTACTAGACTTAGCATGGTTTAATTTAGAGCTACTCCTAAGTAAAATACTCTTTTGCCCATTTGACTCTTTTTTGCTTTCTTCAGTGGTGCCTACATCTGTTAATCATTTATTAACCAGCTATTGCCTTTTTTATTAGTATCATCTGAGACACTGGAGTTGAATCTATCTATGGATGGCTGCCATGAACGTGTTCTGCATATACATGCTGCATGTGCTTTCTCCTCTAGGACAGCATAAGTAAAGGGTGGGGGTTTCTCACTTATTCCAGATCAGTTTCCCTCTTCTCCCAACTGAGTATATTGCTTAATCTCTTGGGATATGAGCTTTGCAGGGATTCTGCCCTTCTTTGTACTCAAAAAGGACCTTGCACAACTAGGCACCATAACTCAATAGCATTCTTTGGAGGCTACAATAAGTACTTACAAAAACAACAGCAATTACACTAAAGACATTTTTAAATAGAAAATACGCTTATTAGATTAAATGCATATGTAGCATCTATGAGAATTCAAATAGAAATGCCAATGAAGATACCATGATACAATCTTCATATGTGTGATCACAGAGCAGTTTTCTACTCCTTGTCCCAGCTCCTTCAGTCCTACCACTTACATTCCATGGCTTTGCCTATGGCCACGACCCTTTCCATCACGGTCAGCTCCAACCTTAAAATCTCATCCCACGCTCTCCACAAAACCGTGTTCCTGTTGCCAGTACACAAATTCCAGGTCCTCACAATTCTGCATTCCAGCCCTGTAGCTCCCTCTGCCCTTTCTCCTGCCTCTCTTTCAGATTAAAAAAGTCCTATGCAAATGATCAGCAAAGTAACTGCAAATTTTAACATAAACAAAATCACACAGTTTTCTCCCATTTTGTTCTAAGAAGCAGATTACATTTTTACTGAGTAAGAATATATACTTAAAAATAGCCTGATGCTGAGCCATTAAATCATGTGCTTTAAGATTCACAGGATTTGGTACACTTATCCATGTTTTGAACTCAGTAACCTTTGCTTGGTAAAAGCACAAGTTCCCGAAAAATATGGATTTAAGATGGAAACATCACAAAAGCCTCCCTCATTTTTTCATAAACTGGTTTTGGTGCTTATTCCCTGGTATTACTAAGCTTCTGTGACTAATTTCAATTTTTTCATTTCTTTGGCTTCTACTTCCAGCCAAGAATTCCTGTTATGCTTTTTTCTCTTACTTTAAATAATGTCTTAATAGCCAGTGCTTTTCCCCAGAAACAGTTCTTAATAAACTGTTATCAAGTGACCTCCTTATTTCTTTTTAATAGTTAAAACCTATGAAGCACAGAAAACTTTTCATTGCAATTAAGCTTTTCCAGACCTCCCATATTTTTGTCTCTTTCCTCACCTTCTCCAGTCCTGCAGCACTCTTTTCAAAATGCAGGCATCACATTTGTGTGTTATCTTACTTCTACTTTGTGTGTGGAACTTCAGACATCATGACCAAATTCTGGCAAAGATTAAGCCATAAAACCAGTATTCCATAATGACATCTGCCAGATCATCTTAACTCTAAACGATACCATGTCTTACCCAAAATGACCCACTTCCTAAAAGACCTTAAAAAATATTTCCAGAGATACTATCCCACACAAATGGAAGTATTTTATTTGGAGTCTTATTAGTCTAATGTCTAAAACTGACTACACGGTAGAGTCCTGATCCCTTAAACAGAAAAATCCTTGGCTTAGAGAAAAGTCACATGACATTTTAACGACTTGGAGCAGTATTGACCAGACACAGCACATGTGACTTTCTGACTTTTGGTTGGCATAGAGACAAACACTGACTTTATTCTTTTGCTCTGCTTTTTCCTAGGCCTCTTTTTTTCCAGAGCTATGCCATCTAACTGGCAAAAAAGTATCACTCAGAAGAGGCTGAGTTCCAGAATCACACGCTCCACTGCCTAGGCAGCGATTTTTCTGCTTAATTTTAGGCCTGCTCTTGCGTGGTTCTCTGCTACTCAAAATATTGTTAATCCTAAGTGTAATAAATATAAGTACATTATTTTACTGCTGGGTTAAGCTTTAGCAGTTCCTGATCTGCATATGTTGTGAGCACATCCTACCAGTCAAATAATTTTAAAACATTTTTCATTTTACTGTGAAATGTGGTCAAAGTACTTGGTTTCAGTTGCGTATTTGTGTGAACTATCCCACTGTCTTTTCCACAGAACACAAGTTGGACAGCTATATACAGAAATTAAACCCTTAATCCATACTTGATTTATAACCTACATTCAAATAAGACAACAGAATAATTTTCCCTTGTTCAAGACACAGCTCTTCAGTGATTTTTCTCCTGAATTCCGTTTCAAGTTTTTGCACCAGAGCTTGAGGAACAGTTCTTGCAGAAAGACTAACCTCTGAACTGTTACTAGGATAAATGCCTGCTAGGATCTGCAATGTGTCTTATGTGCAAATTAATTTTGTTTTTGAACGTGTGCCTCATGTAATTTGCGTACTTTAACCTTTCCAGAAACTTATTTTCTGTTTCATTCTTCACTGGCTCTTTCTCTTCAGAACGTGCTCTTGGATGCAGTAGGAGCAGGGAAACATGCAGGTCAAACTTGTTCACAAGAGGGCCTCATCTCAAACTAATTTAGCAAGCAGCCCTAAGATGCCAATTATACCTATCAATCCAGCTGTAAATGATAAAACACATGACCACTCTACAAAATTCCCGGTTGGGATGCTCATTAAACCAAACCAATAACAGACATTGCAAACAGACCCTACAACTGCTAAAAATCAGCCTTGGGACATGAGATTGCGTTATCTAACTTCAGTGACCCATATCTCAGTTGTCTGGTCTGATCCACTATCCGAGTTCTTCCATAAGTCAGTAAAGAGAAAGGAGATTTATCCCATCTTTCTAAGATACTACGCCAAGATGGAAGGAAAGTTAAATAATTGTCTTCTAGAAGAGACTGTCTAGTTCCACTCGTTACGCAACGAACTTAGATGTATGCTGACTGAACATTTCCACAGTGAACAGATGGGTGCTATCAAAGTAACAACACAAAGTGCAGTTAAAAGTCATGTCAGTGTTTTTCATCGTTCACTGACAAGCTGGAAAAAGTTTCCCTTGTCACCAAAGCCAGTTAATTTAATCTTCTCTTCCCTTCACGGCTGTTGGGTACCTCTTTGCCTCTAGGAGCTCTCCGAAGAACCAGCACTTTCAGTTCTGCTCTCTGATAAATACTGTACTTAGGTAGGGCTTTTAAAGACAGAAAAATCTTCTTTCATCATTTATCACACAAGTGGCACTGTCATATGCTGTATCTTTAATTCATAAGAATAATGTAAATGGAGCATTTCAGAAAGCTGAACTCCAAGCTACATTGTATTAAATGTGCTAGAGTAGACAGCAGGTGATGAAAAATTTTAAAATAAATGGCACCATGACATAGCGACTAATGCTACAGACAGGTAACAGGATGCAAGGTCTAAAGATTACCCTAACTGCTTCAGGTCTTGATTAAACCCTTAAAAAATTCGACTGCCTTACTGGGTGAGGTTTTTTACAGCATATTACTTGGCATCTTTGCTATATACTCAATGGAATTTTATCTCTTTGCCAATACTTAAAACCCTAATTTAACCTTGTGAGTTATACAATGGTTGTATATTCACATGTCTTGGAATAAAGGTGGCCAGTGGACTATTTGGTACAGTTGACTACAAACCTGAATGAAACCTTACCGGTGGTCCAGGAGGTCCAAGGGGACCCTTATTAGCTTCTGAACAGGAACAAGCATGAGGAAGGGCAGGGCAATTTTCCTCATCTCTCTAAGGAAGTATCAAGACAGGAAGAGAATTATGTCCAAACTTTTGATTCAGAAGTTACAAATTTTATGAATCTAAGACATAATACTCTGTGGATGCCTCAAAAGCCCCCTTGATTTAGAAATATACATTGACTTTCAATAGAACAAGTAATCCAAACAGACTTGGGATTTTCTGAAAACTCTTAACTGTCTATTTCCATTAAAACATCTGTCTCAAAGGGGAAAGGGGAAAGGAGAAGGTAAATTATACAGCTATTGAAAGAGGTTTCTTACCAAGCCAGGAAGCTCACAGCATTTGTCCCGATTGGCCCATGAGGTAGCACAAACGATGTCAAACATCTGTAACTGCAGCTGTTTAAAACAAGGGTGATGTACAAAATGATTGTTAGTTGCAAGATCGGTGCAAAAGATCGTCTTCACCAGCAAGAAAAGCTACCTCAATTCAAGCAGTCAGGTTAGACAGAGGAAAGGCTATCGATTTCAAGCAGCTAGCCACAAATACACTGTCTTAAATGGTAAAAGGCTTGTGTTCTAACCTAATTGTCTGAACTGCCAGGCATTACGTGGATTAAGCAAACTGTTAAGGTCAAATGCTGAAGGCATTTGTTGGATTATCCCACCTCCTCGCTTAAATTTATGATTTTGCCCAATGGTGTCTCCTGATACTTTTCTAACAAATGAGACATCAAGAGTCAGGTGAAAGAGAGCTCAGCTTCTCCAAACTTCTCTTAACCCATTGGTCTGGTGCTCAGATTTTATCTGGGAAAAGTTCTCCTGTAGCCTATTACTTACATTGGAGCTGAGCCACAAATAATATTTATCATCTTCTCCAGTTTTATTTTACTTTAGAATATGCCCTCTCTTAGCCATATTATCCTCAGGCAATGAAAGTTTAAGGATGGTGAAATGCTTGCTCAACAGATGACAGCGCTGGGCAGAAAATTCCCACCACACGTCTGGGAACATGGTTTGGATGTGAATTGAATTGACAAGAATACACACATTGGGTAAAAATAATGGCTGCTAGGTACTCAGAAACAATATGCTAAATAGGACTCGGTGGTAAAACCAATTGTCTCCTTTACAGCCTTGAACTGAACACAGGGGTCTAGAGAAATGAAGCTTTCTTCAGTTACTATTTCTATTCTTTTTCCATGCCTCATTTATGTGCATACTGAGCAGAGAGGGGAATGGAACAGAACATCCCATTAAATTAACCCCACATGTTACAAAAATTTGCGGAACTGCTAGAGATAGAACTCTCTTTGGTTTTGCTCCCATTATTATTTTCAGTGGCATTATTTTAACACAAGGACAGAAGAGTGAATTTAAAGATTTTCTTAAAACTGCATTGCTTCTAAAGCTGTTAAAATGAACTACATACGTGTGCCCTCGATTTTGCCTCTTTTTTTTCTTATATAAGTCTATTATTATATTTTAAACAAAGGAATACTTTCATATACATAGAAATTCTTCTTCCCTGCCAGCAGATTAGTGGTTTGTAGATATGCTGTACTACAGATGCAGACACACGTAAGCTGGATCCATGCTAAATGCCTTAGAGAGCTGAAGTGCAGCATGAAGGCAGCTTTTGGACCCTTGGTTTGGCTCCATAAAGGTCCATAAAAGTCCAACAAGTCTCTGTGTCCCTGGCTATGTCAAATGCAAGCTCACTTAGAAGCTTCTTCAAAACACACCCCAAAACTACTAATTCCGGGAGGACTCATTAGGTGGAGCACAGTAGCACATGAACATGCATGAACATACTGCTCTGGGATTCAGAATGACCCTGGGCACTTGCATGGTGCAAGCGAATAAGACATCCCAGAAAAGGAGTGCAGAAACACCTGAGCTGGTTGTGCAGAAAGCAGCTTAGGTTCAGAAGTAAGTAGCATTGCCATTTTTTCCATACCCCAGTGTGACGGTTTTAGTGAGGAAGTTAACTTTCTTTGCAGTGGCTGGTAGGAAGCTCTGTTTCTGGATTTATCCTGAGAAAAGTACTGATGAGATGTCTTTTTAGCTGGTGCTGAGGAGTGCTTGCACCAACTTCAAGGTCTCTCTCAGCTTCTGATTCTGCAGCTGCATTTCCAACTGTCTCACCACAGGCAGTGTGGGGGACACACAGTTCAGACAGCTGACCCACACTGACTGAAGGGGTATTTCACTCCATAGCACGTCACCCTCGATACATAAGCAGGGAGTGAGCCTGGGGGCCATTACTCTCCCTCACTCTCTTGCGCTCCCTAACACTCTAACTCCTTTGCTAGCTGCTTTGCTAACTCCTGTGCTGGCTCGTTCATGAGTGAGTTGGCAGTTCAGCTGGCTTTCCCGGTCATGCTGTCGCTCATGGGGCTCACTCGGACTCTGCTGCGATCACTCTCAGGCCCTCTGGCTTTGACTCATAGAATGGTTTGGGTTGGAAGGGACCTTAAAGACCATCTAGTTCCAACCCCCCTGCCATGGGCAGGGACACCTTCCACTAGACCAGGTTGCTCAAAGCCTCATCCAGCCTGGCCTTGAACACTTCCAGGAATGGGGCATCCACAGCTTCTCTGGGCAGACTCTCACTACTCAGGGCATGGCTGTGCATTGGTTGGCAGGTGGTGAGCAACTGTATCATGTTTTATTTTCTATTATTTAATTACTTAGTAGTAGTAGTATTATATATTCATTTACACATACAGATATTATTAATTTATATTCAATTAGTAAATAGTTCTTAATTCAATTTTACAAGCTTCCTTGTCTTTTTCCTCCAATTCTTCCCTTCCACTGAAGGGAGGCAGTGTGTTGGCTTCATGGTATTTTATTGCTGGCCAGAGTTAAACCACGACACCCAGTTCATTCCAAGCTATCCTTAACAACGGAAGGTTGACAGTATTGGCTAAATGTATGCAGTCCTACATAGGCATGTATATGCATTCATTTCCTCTGGATTAGACAGTCTAGAGATCGACAGTGAAAAAGCATGTTGGTGTAAGATAAAGTGCAAATAGACATTCCCTGAATTGCTGTATTCACCATCCAAATGCTGAATGACTCAGTATTCTTATTTTAAAATATTATGTGGGTTGCTCTGACCCATGCTAAATATCTAAACAAAGCTTTCTTTGCTACCATTAAACATTTATTCATAATTCTCTGTATTCATAGTGATTTTGTTTTCTAAATATCCAGCCCTGAAAGCAGAACCAGTAAGACAAAAATGCCTGCCCATCCGCATCTGATCAGGCTACAGTTCTGCAAAGATTTTTCAAGAGCAGACCACATCACACATTACTTATTTTAACCGCGCATGTACCTAGAGGCAAACAAAAGGAGACATCAATAAAGAGGAGTTCTGTGAATTGTAAATAAACAATGTTTTAAATCTGGACTTCTCATTAAATCCCACTGAAGGAATAAAGAACGTTACGGGCTGCATGACATGGTCAGGTTCTACTGCCTTAGCCCTAGCTGGCTGGAGTGCCTAATCCTGAGAAGCCTTACTACGAAGGGATGTTAAAAGGGCTTTCACCTCTCGCCTAATCCCCTTTGCATCCTATCTACCTCTGTTTCTGCCTCTTCATCCAACTGTAGCACTACACATGCATCAAAGGAGGAAAAAACTCTGATACGATTAAATTCCTTTGAAACAGAAATGTTTTGTAAAATTCAGGTGAGTGCACTGGATTCATTTATTTAAAAAATACATTTAAAACACTTACAATGTTAAACTGTTCTATGTGAATACAGTCAGAACAAAACATCCCCAATTTTATTCTAAAATAACTGCCTGCTTGTTCTTGTTTCATGAAATAAGCATCTCTAAAACACTTCATCAAAGCACTTCATCAAATACAGCTGATGAATAAAGAACTTCTCAGAACTATCAACAAACCCCAATTTTCATATCAATTCGAAACCATTTTCAAAATGTTTTACAAAAAAGAATTTTTGTTGTATGTATGCCTTCATGAGCCTCTTAAAACTGAGAAGATACTGGAATGCACTAAATCTCTGTACTCTCTTTCCAACGGTGGCACATGTGATAGCTAATGAAACAACCAAAATTTCCTTTACATTCTTTTTCCCAGGATTCCCTACAATCTATACAAATATTTTGCACCCAAAAAATTGTACAGTAAGGAATTCCACTGATCTTACTACTTGTTGTATCCTACCTCCTACTACTAGCTTCTTTTGATGTCCTCCACTTTTTGGAGTATAGGAAACCAAGTCATTCATGCCTTAAATGTGACAAGTTCTACTCAATATGAATAAAATGGGCAGAATGGAGACTTTAAAGAATGATATTTTGGTGCTCTTGACCTGCTTGTAATTTGGTATATGTGGCACTACTTGAAGGCAGCTAAACAGTGCTATGGAGTAAAGAATTTTAATCTTCATGTACACATTTATAGTCTTACGTCAGTTTTGCAGTCAAAACCAAATTTTTCAGTGAGTGGGCAGTCTGACTTATCTTTTATAGATTCCTAGGTTCTAACAAAAGACACCATTTCTTTCCACTTCTTTACAAAGCCTTCTCTAATAGCAAAATTTCCTAAGTTTGCCTTTTTCTGTTTCTATTGAAATGTGACTACAAAGGTTTCTCTGTGTAATTGTCTTTACAGGCTTCATATAATGATTATCCATAAGTTTGAGGCCTAAAAGCTCATTTTTATTCTGAAGGCTTATTTTTTACTAAACAAGAGTATTTCCATATAGTAGCAAGCAGATACATTTCTGAAACCTCATTCTTATTCAAATCAAGCCTCGAGTTCAAGGTTCACATTCTCAGCTAACCTCATCCTAAGGTCAAGAAAGTTCAAGGAAAATCAGCGAATGGCACCACACAGCAAAGAAGCCTTCCTAAAATCATTGTCAGTCCTTCAACAACCAAATCTACCTGAAAACCCCTCCCAAACCTTCTTCATGACATCTGAGGCAAAACAGAAAGACTCCCATAGGTTGCTGTGCAAACAGAACGATCAGTTACTGCTTCTAGGAGAATAATTTTGGAGAAATAAAAGAATACTTAATCTTGGGGAGGATCTTTCACATTTAGAATATTTTCTATTATAAAAGAACTAGATACACTAAGACAGGGGCTTTTGGTGGCTGTCTGTGTCAAACCAGCTCAATTCTTTAATGAACAGATAGTGAGCTTTGGATAACCATAGAGTAAGAGGGAATAAAGGACATGGGGAATAATTATCACTCAAAACAAGGTTTAAATGATTCCAGGTAAAGGACTTCTACATTGTATTACTCCATGTAATGAAGTTGGAACACAAGTCATATCTGAATGTATCGACTGTGCTCACTTATGTGTTTGAGAATAACATTTGAACAATGATGATCTAGAGATTTTGTTTATTAAAATAATCAAAAATAGATTTTGTCCCAGTTGAGAACTACTGGAGGCTTTTGCAGAATTTCTAAAATGCTAGAACTTTACTGTTTCAGATATTAATTCACTCTGCTTCAATTTAAAACTAACTGCAAAGATCCCAAACACTTGTTTTTTACAATATTTAAATGGTTTAAAGAAATGTTCTACTTACTGGTGCAGAGTTGTCTCTTGGTCCTCTGGATCTGACCATTCTCCCCAGCACTTCTATGCCATCAGAACTAATATTCCCTGCTGCATTAATGGTCTTCTCGCTCACTTGCTTGCAGTCAATAATTATTTTGGCTGTAGTCTTGCTGATAACAACATGCAACTAAGGAAAACAAAAGATGCTTTAACATACAAAGGAGCACACAGGATATATTAATTTCTGGGGAAAAGGGGGACGTTTTCGAAATGAGGTCCTAACTCTATGTTTGTTAATGAAACTCAGAGAATAATCCATAGAAAATAATCTAGATGACCTCTAGAGGTCCCTTGAAACCTGATTTATTCTACGATTCTAACCTATCACATGGTAATATTTTTCTGCTTATGAAACATCTGTACATAAATTGGCACCTTACATAATTATATTCTTACTGAATAAATTATCCTTGACAAAAGATCTACAAAATGGTCATAAAGCACCCAAATCCCAAAGAACCTTTGATTTATGTGGTCAGTAATTATTCCTGGACCTTGTATGATCCTGCTGTTTAGCACTAGATTTCACCAATCATCCTTTATAGCCACTTGCAAAAGCCGAAACTAAGCAGTAAAATTTAGCTTGTAAATCATACATTAGCCACACACCAAAACCTTTCATAGTGAAATTTTTATACTGAAAAAAAATCAAATTACAACAAACACAGTACAGAAAAGCAAAGCACAGCAACAGATACTTCCTTCTGCCTTGACACACATTCTGTTGTCCACTGCTGATGCAGCAAAGACAGTTCCAGCAGAGCAGAGACAACAACCCTAGCCACAATTGTCCTGTCACAGAATCATAAAAAGGTCTTTTCCAACCTAAATGAAAAAGACCACCAAGTCCAACCATTAACCTCACACTGCCAAGTCCAGCACTAAACCATGTCCCTAGGCACCACATCTACACACCTTTCAAATACCTCCAGGGGTGGTGACTCCACCACTTCCCTGGGCTGCCTGTTCCAACGCCTGACACCCCTTTCAGTGAAGAAATCTTTCCTAATCTCCAATCTAAACCTCCCTGATTTCAATTTATACCCATTACCCCTTGTCCTGTCACTACAGGCCCTTGTAAAAAGCCCTCTCCCAGTACCCTTGTAGGCCCCCTTCAGATACTGGAAAGCTGCAATGAGGTCTCCTCGGAGCCTCCTCTTCTCCAGGCTGAACAACCCCAGCTCCCTCAGCTGCTCCTCACAGGACTTGTGCTCCAGACCCTTCCCCAGCTCCGTTGCCCTTCTCTGGACACACTCCAGCACTTCAGTGTCTTTCCTCAAAACTGGGCTTGTTCAGCCTGGAGAAGAGGAGGCTCCGAGGAGACCTCATTGCAGCTTTCCAGTATCTGAAGGGGGCCTACAAGGGTACTGGGAGAGGGCTTTTTACAAGGGCCTGTAGTGACAGGACAAGGGGTAATGGGTATAAATTGAAATCAGGGAGGTTTAGATTAGATATCAGGAAGAAATTCTTCACAGAGAGGGTGGTGAAGCACTGGAACAGGTTGCCCAGAGAAGCTGTGGATGCCCCATCCCTGGATGTCTTCAAGGCCAGGCTGGATGTGGCTTTGAGCAACCTGGTCTAGTGGAAGGTGTCCCTGCCCATGGCAGGGGGGTTGGAACTAGATGATCTTTAAGGTCCCTTCCAACCCAAACCATTCTGTGATTCTATGATTCTTGCAGTGAGGGGCCCAAAACTGAACACAGGATTCGAGTTGGGGCCTCACCAGTGCCCAGTACAGGGGGACAATCCCTGCCCTAGTCCTGCTGGCCACACTGTTCCTGACACAGGCCAGGATGCCATTGGCCTTCTTGGCCACCTGGGCACACTGCTGGCTCATATTCAGCCAACTGTCAGCAAACACTCCCAGGTCCTTTTCCACCAGGCAGCTTTCCAGCCACTCATCCCCAAGCCTGCAGTGTTACATGAGGTTGTTGTGACCCAAGTGCTCATACAATTGGTCTCATACAATTGGCCTCGGCCCATCAGCCCAACCTGTCCAGATCGCTCCGTAGAGCATTCCTACCCTCATGATCAAGCTCTCAGTTAAGCAAAGGAAAGAAGAATTTGGGAGGGGGTTGTGTGTGTGCATGTGCGCACAGAGGCTGGTAGAAGAACTGGTAGAAATGCCGTATCTGCTCTATACCAGCACACTATGGGGAGATCAGAGCCAAAGGTATAGGAGAGAGTGCCGGGAAGAAGTCATGTAGCTGCTTTGCCATGGTCTTAGCTGGAACTAAGTAACTGAAAAACTGCTAAGAATCGGGTCTCCTGTGCCATTCAAACACAAATATAGCAAGGTTCATCATTAAACACTAACAAAAATTCCTAATAGGAGAGTTTGCTAAAGCCTCACGTATTCCTCCAAAGCACAGCTTAAAAGTCAGAATTAAACCCCAGCTCTGACCTACCTTCCCTTTCTCTCTCCATCAATTAAACAGGAAGTACAGAAAGATTAAGCTCTGTAAATACTATCCCTCCAATCCACAAAATCCCTTTTTTGTTTAGGAAAGACAGAAACATCAGGAATAAAAGTGAACAACAAAAGCACCTTCCACAACAAGTATGTGCTACAATCCCAGCACTACTTCATCTGCCTTTGGAAAGAATGTTACGAGTTCTCTAACAGCCAAGAGAAGTTCGACATGGCATAGCCCTTAAAATATGTTTTAAAATAACAACTCTGGTCAAAAGAAGGATACATTTTTTTGGTGGACTTTTTCTTTTCATTTTGAGTGACATTTCCAACCCAAACCTTAAAAGGAAAAGCCAATTTCTTTCTAAATTACTTTTCAAGGCAAGTATTTTAATTGACTCTAAAATCCAGACACAAAGCATGAGATGAAAATTGGTCATATCAGCTTCACCATAAAAACTATGACTTTTTTAATGTTAATTCAATATTGCAAAGAGACTTAACAAACAGACAGCTTGGTAGATGACTGAATATGCAAAATACATTTCCTTTGGCAGCAGTTGACCACATGAAAGATTTCAAAACATGAAAAACTCCAAAACCTTTATTCAGAGTGGGGTTTTTTTCTATTACCATTACTAACCTTATGAAAACTTCCGTAAAATATCTTCCTAATTTCAGGACCTTCAAAAGTCACAGTTTGAAAATCTCCTTTGTAGTCATAGTTAAAGAAAGTTAGAGTTTTACCACCATCTGTGTGAGAATAAAAACAAGGGTTCTGTGTCACAGGAAGAAAAGGTCTGCCGCATTATTTGAAAATGTCAATTTTGTGTTAAACAAAGATGACCAAAGATGTCAGATCAAATGTTAGTAAAACACATTCTTAAGTGATATACTGACCTGGAAGTGGCAAGTTCTCTCAGAGAAGTGCTCTTTCCTGGTTTGGCAGGAAGGATGGACCAATAGTTGGAAGTCTACCTCACCCATGTCTACCTGATCCTACTCTCCCACTAGTTCTCTGTGGGAATTTGGACAAGAAAAGGAGGCACAGATCCTCAAGCTAGCCAAATGCTTAATTCCCACCTATTTCAAGGTGACTTACATAAAAAATTCTAGGAAAGACAGAAAGATAAGTAGTAATATCTCTCTTTTAACTGGCACCTATGAAGAACCGCTATCATAGTACCTAACACCTTTTCAACAGTAAACATGGAAACCTAAATTATAATCTGTTTTACAGTTGTGGAAGTCAGATCAAGTAGAAATGAAAAGAGCCATTAAGGGTTCATGCCTGTAGCTCTACGTCCACCAGACTGCACTGCCTCTGTGTGTACCATACTGTCAGTACCGCTGGCTTGTATCAAGATAGATTCTATTAGAACCAGATTCAGAGCAGTGGAAATTTTCAAAGCGAAGGAGTAGCTCCCTTACATCAATTTACATCTAGAATGGCTGTTTGGTTTGTGGTGCAATTGCTCCCAGTTTAGAGCAGTGTACTCAAAATTGGACTCTAACTCCAAATTAAACTCAGTTAAAAGAAATCTAAAAAACACCCATTAGAGACTATTACCATCCAGATTCAGGTAGTTGTTCTGACAGCAGATTAAAGCATTGGCAATAATAAATCTAGACACAGAACGAATCATTCCTACAGTGAAAGAAAACATCACTGATAAAATACAAAATACATACTATCTAAAATAACTCCAACCAGTGGTTCATATTCTTCATTTAAAATCTCCCAAAGAGCAAATGGCTCCTGAGGTGTGTCAGGGAGTATACGGAAGAGAAACGTAATGGTGTAATCAGAAGGGAGACCTTCAGGATGCAAATACCTGTAAGAGAAACAATGTCTTTTAAACTCACACAAACATTATATCTGGTGATTTACTCACCAGATACTCACTTAACACTTTCTACTACTCTGCATACTTCTTTGGAAATCAAGATAGAGAAGCAATATGAATAAGTGTTTGCAAAAGCTACTCAACTTGATAACTATCAAAAGAATAGTTATGAAGAAAGGAGTTCTCTTTTCCCTTGAAATTTACAAAATTGCCCTTAACTTATTTTCTTCTAATTTGAAGATCAAATTGGAGGTCAGTTTGAAGTACAGATGAAATTAATTATATTAAAAGCTTTTAAAAAATATTAGCCACTCGCAAGACCTGTGCTATTGTGTGGTTTAACAGCCAATGAAATAGAAGTTGCTTGGAAGACCAATCTCAATAGACATGTCCTTTGTCATTAAATCATCCCTAATGGACAGAAATTAGGAATGACAGAGACTGTTACAGGAAGCTTTATAAATTATATAGAATGTAGTTTATACCTTTCAAAACAAATATATAAGAAAGGGAAGCCAAACCAGATCACACATACAGAAATACAATCTGTTCCCCTAGAATTTTTGCAGAACAGAGGGGAAGCTTATGACAGAAGTATGTTACTTTATCCCATTTCCTAGATTTTTTAATTTAGTACTTCCAATTTAATTGAACCTTTTGTTGTCAAATGGTGAAGTGGGACACTTGGACAAGTGTCTGAAATGATTGACTCTATTTTGAAAATGTTAATTAGCCTGATTCCTTAAAATCATATTAAAGGGATCTGAAAGAAGCCTGAAAAGGTTATTTTATCAATTTATTTTCCTCAATTATAATCTATTCCTCCTAAAGTGTTTGTGCCACATACAAGATGAACAGATATGAATCATGCTGGAAAAGCAGTTAAAAGTGATATATAATCAATATTATCTGCACAGTGGTCTGTAGATGACCTATCGTGACACTGTACTGCGCATTTCCCACCAAGAAAAGAGAGTGGGAACTCAGCTGGTATAAGAACAAAGTCTTACAGCATGCCCATTGTACAAAGAATGAAAGAAAATTCAATAAGCAAGGTTTGGGGATACAGAGCTCTGAAAGGAGAGTAACATTAATGACATTCAGTGCACAGATGAGATGACAAAAACGAGTGGTATTATTTAGACGTACCTGTAGATCATCAAGAGAAAGGTACCCTCTCAACCATGAAAAGGAGTGAAAGCCTAATGAAGCAGTAAGATTGGGCTGGGTGGCAGCTACAGAAGAGCATATAAATGCAGCAGATCGATTAGAAAGAAGCAGAAAGGGAAAAAGAAAAGAGAAATGCTAATTCCTGGAAATTCCATTCCATCTAGACCCAGGAGGAAACTGACTGAGAATGTGAAACAGCTCCAAGAAGTACAGCTCCAACTGGGACACAACTGGACAATCACACAAAAGGACTAAGATGACATCTAACATAAACATTAAAAGTAATTTCCCACTGTTTTTCTGCCTTATTTATCTCAGCTAGAGAATACATCAGCCCATGTTTAAGCCAGCAGGGCCACTGATTTTCTCTGGTACCACTTAATACAAAGTGGAGGACTTGGCTGTGAGGAACCAAACACAACATACACACTGTTCACAGAAAAAATGGAGAGCCTCCATCCCTTCCTCCCTGAGGAGTGACTAAAAAAGTTCGATGGGAGGTTTCTTCATCATCTCCTTCATCTCTCTCAGAACACAGTCCTTGTGACTGAACTACATCCTGCCTCCCAGGGAGGTACTAGATGGTGTTCACACAAACTCATTTCAGCACAAGGAGATAATCTTTCTTTGTAATCAAGGAATGGACATAACCTGATGCAGAAAGTGACTGGGAACACCTAAAGCATGTTCTCCTTCTGACTCAGACTTCAAAGGCATTTTGCATTCTATGACATTTCAACCCACTTTCCAGAGGCACTTTTCACAAAGTACTACGTACTGGAATCTGCCCAGACGTGCGCTTGCATGAAATTCTTCGGTGCTAAATGGCACACGCCTGAAATAGGCTCATTGGGAAACCCAAACTAGCCAGTGGGCTTACCTACATTTACCCCCAGTTGTTATTTTTGAATGAAACTTACTGAGGATTCAGGACACCAAAGACACTTTCTATTCATTAGTATAGCATATTTACACACTGCCAAATCTGCTCCTCTGACATGAAAATACTGATCCCTGAAATGAACAATTGCCTGCACTGGACAATTGTCTTCATGTGTTTTAAGGATATTTACATGTTATTACATACTTGGTAGGCTGGGATACCAGGGCATCCTTGTGCAGTCTGTAACATGGGTAAACATTAAATGTACCAGGTTCCATTGAAACCCCTTCCACAGCTGAAAACTCCTTTTCAACCAAACCAAACATTTCCATCATTTTAAATCCTGGAAAGCATCAAGATAAACACGATATTAATTCAAAATAATACCATATTACAGGAAACAAAAAAAGGACAAAGCCAGTTGCATCAAATAGTTTCATATCACCATCTGTGTAACAGCTGTTAGCATATAGGAAAATTTATTGCCTAATATTGTGAAAATCAGGTAATGGAAACGATTCCATAAATCGGGAAAAAAATTAACACAAAAATACTGTACCTGCAAAATTGTTGCCATCTTTAACCACCAATGGGCAGGCTGGAAAAGAGGGAAAGATATATTTAAGGATACAAGAGATGTCCCCACTGGGTCAGAACAATGATCCACTCAGCCCAGTCCTCCAACCCCAACAGCAGCACAAGGAGATGCTGTTTCGAAGGGCATGCAAACCTGGCCATTTTCTACTCCATTCAGGTAATACTCCACATGATCCACAAGGGTTATAGCAAAGACTTTAAAGGGTACATCCCTGTGTGTTCCATATAATATCTTTCTATGGATCTGTTGTCCATGAATTTGTCTACTCCTTCAATGAACTTGCCTTCACAACCTCTTGTGGCAACAAATTCATTGCCTGCTGTGTAAAAAAGTACGTCTTATACTGAGTTTTAGGCAAGTGCTCCCTAGTTCTCTATTTGTAAGCTTCTCCAGCCCAACTCCATCTCAAGTTCAATTACTTCAGCTGGCACTCTCTGTACGTTTTCAAACTCCACAACAGCTTTCATGAGCAAGAGAGACCAGAATTGCATGCAGTCCTTAAGATGTGTACACCTGTTTTAAATAGCTGTCAATCTGGTTTATATTTTCCTTCTGGCAGGGAAGAAAGTACACTTATGGGAAATCAATATGCCTAGATGAAGGGTGTCAAATATGGCACCCCCGGATACTCATATTCAGAGATCGCTTTTGGAATAAAAGCACAACTGACCAATAAATGCTACAGATTTCATAGATTTCAAAGAGTTCAGCAAAGCTTTTGACACGGTGTCCCATGGCACCCTCATAGACAAGCTTAAGAAGCATGGATGGGACCATTGGGGGATGAGGTGGATTGGGAACTGGCTGGAGGACAGAGCTCAGAGACTTGTGGTCAATGGGGCAGAGTCTAGTTGGAGGCTGGTGGCTAGTGGCACCCCCAGGGGTCAGTGCCCTATTCAATATATTCGTCAATGACCTGTCAAAGGGATAGAACGTACTCTCAGCAAGTTTGCTGACGATCCCAAACTGGGACGAGTGGCTGCCACACCAGAAGGCTGTGCTGCCATCCATGTGACCTGGACTTGTTGCTGTGTGATCTACTTCAGGGGATCGTGCTGTGGCAGGGGGGTTGGACTAGATGATCTCTGGAGGTCACTTCCAAGCCCTACCTCTCTGTGAATGTGTTTTATGTTTTTCCTTAGGCTAGAACTCTTCTAATTTCTCTGATAATACAAACATTAATGATTAGATCTCCGTTAATAAATTAACCATGTGATCTGAGTAACAATGAATGTAGCTATCTCTACTCTTAGATGGTTAAAGCAGCCTGGAAAATAAAACGTAATTAACTTTTTATAAAAAAATTATGAACCATTAACATTTTTTCAAATCTGAAATAACGTTTTGACAGCCAATGGATGTATTCTGGATTTATAGCAACCAATAATTATTTTGAAGTCACCACACCTTCATTTCCTTAATCTTTTACAGAACTAACAATAGAGTCACAATATCTGCAGCAGATTATGTTAAAAAGTTGAAGAATACCTCTTAATAGAAAATTAATAGTTACAAGAAACCACAGTATTTAGCACTTATTTTAGAAGCAAGTAAAAGTCAAAATGACTAACTTGCTGATGCAGTTTCACAAACAAAAGTGATCAGCTCATCTTCGATTTTTGTAAAGGCATCAAAGTCATCCACAAAGAAGACATGTCTCTCACTGGGCTTGCTGCCAATATTAACTAACTCTGAATAGTCAGCATCAGCTACTCCAATAGCAAAAAAGCTGAAACCTGTAAAACAAAAAAGAACACTTGCGAGTCATTCATTTAGAGAGGGGAAATACAATATGAACACAACTGTATTTGCAGTGGTTCCTTTCCTGATTAAATACACAAGTGGAAATTTTATTATTATCCCATAACACAAGAAAATTCATGCATGTAATCTAAAATAAAGGTAATGCATTCTCCATGAAATATTCCTTTTGGCCATTTATCCTTAATCAGTTAATTAACATCAATGCTTAAGTGTTTTCTTGAAGACACGTAAGACTACTCAGTAGTTTAAAGTTTTATTGTATGTTTAAATGCATTTCTAATTTAATGCTATACTGTAATAGACACAAAAATATCCATGTTCCAAGTATTATCATAAATACAAAACACAGGAATTAATTTCCTGTCCATCTTTTACAGATTTGTTCTGTGCCGTATATTAATCAGTGTTCAAGCCACTGCTGCCTGATGAGTGAACACAGAAATAAATGTGCTCTCCTTTCATCAGCAACTTAACTGCCCTGGTTGAATCTGTTCTATATATATGCTGCATGAATATTTCAAAATTTGACCCTGCCTTTAAAGATTTAAATGAAATGGAAATTATATCTTATATGTTTGAGGAGCAGCAAAATAGCTAAAAGTTTTTCAACACATTCCTTTCCATTAAAGATAAAGAAAAAACCTGCCTACAGCAGGCTGAACATCATTAATGGACATATTGTTTTTGCATGGCTCAGTCCCAAATTTACTCCGGTCAAGCAATATTGACTTTAAGTATGAATGAGGCCCAAAGGCATTCATGAAGTTTTTGCAGGGCATTTAGCATAACAAAACTTTGACTTCATATGTTACAACATCTTCATGTCTCATCCAAGATCAGCACCTCTTCTTGCCAGTATCATAGATGCAAGTCAGCACCTGCTCCAACTTATCTGCAGCCTCAACATACAGCACACACAAAAGGAAAAGGGAGAGGGGAAGTCACCTGTCCAAGGTGACACAATCCAGCAACTGAACCCCCATGATATGCTCTCTCCTCTGGAGGTCGCTGACTGTTGAATATTTTCTGTTCAGCTTAGACATAGACTCCAATTTAATCAGAAATCTGGGGTTTTCTTGACTGCTACTTAAAACAAGCTATGCATGCAAAAAAATCCAGGATCTAACCATATCCTAGCGATACTCTGTGTTTCTCAGCCGTTTCCCGTCTGTTTTCTTTAAACATGGAAATCTTCTTGGAGATAAAGTTATCCTTATCTCATGATCACACTTATATGGTTACAATTGATGAGAAAAAAGAAAATGTGAATAGTTCTTAAAACTACACATTTTACCATCTAGTTGCATTTCTCTGGAGACTTTGTTCACATCGTCCTGTGATCGCCCGTCAGTAATGACAACCAAAACCTTTGGAATGCCCCTTCTCATTCCTGCCTCTCCAGTAAACAAGACTTCTCTTGCATGTTTAATGGCTTTGCCTGAAACAGAAAAAATGAACATCATCCTTTGACTGTGACATAAATCCAATTTCTATTGGCTTCTCATACCGTGGTAGACATCAATAGAAAGAGAAATGTGTTGCGTCCTGAGTAGTCTGTAAATTAGTGCATTCTGTAGTTATTAAAATAGAGATTGAGAAATGTTTAATTTTGACCCTAACCTTTGAAAATTCGATAGCTTCAGCCATTCATTTCTTCAATCAGAAGGCTTAAGAAAATGAGATTTGTGGAAAAGGGTATTCTGTGTGGGTTACAGATAACAATCTTTCTTAATTGGACTGTAGGGCACACTGCAGGTAACAACTGAAAGTGCCACTGTAGCATTTTCTTGAGTAAATGGACGTGTTATTTTCATACTACTCAGACTGGATGCAATGCAACAGCTGCAAGAAATTTCTGTGCAGTCTGAGGATAACAAAACATATGGCTTCCAACTGAAACGTATTTTAACCCTTTCAGCACTAATCTTTAACTTCTGCACATCAGAGAGCTATCTTAAGGGATTAATGACTTGTAACTACATTCAGTTAACAGACATCTCCCAGCCCAGTCTGGACATACCACTGAGGCTTAACTGTCCTGGCTTATAACCAGACAGACCTTCCACTCTGCCCACTGTTTTCTACATTGTCTGTGAGCGAGCTCTCACCTTCTCTCCCCTCCCACTTTTCCACTTGCCAAACTGATTTCATATTACTCCCCATTACACAATCCCCAGTCATTCACTTCTGCCCAGGTGCCTCCTCTCTCCCTTCCTCCCTGGTCCTTGACATCACTCTTGGTTAGAGGAGTGAAAGGTGTAAACTGCAGATTACAAAGACCTTCTAACTTCAAAGCCCAAGCTTTCACCTGCAGCGTGGACATACCTTGATCTCACTGTTTTTACACTGATATATTAAATCAATTAGCAAATGGGAAAGAAATACTACACCGACACAAGCAGGGAGAAAATCAGCACCATAATCATGACCTTTCTCACCTGTTTTTGTATTTCCTCCTTTGTAGGCTATTTGCTGAATAGCTTCAAGAAGAGTCTCTTTTGTTTTGTATGCATTCAACTTAAATTCTGTCCTGGGATCATCACTGAACTGAATTATTGCCACCTATGCACACAGAAGACGTGTTCATTACAAAAACACTACCCAGAGTATAAGGAAAAAGTAAGTATATCAGTGCATTTAACCCAAGGATTTATCTTTTAACTTTGCTTCATCCTTAAATTGAAGACAAATTTTTTTTCCTCTTTAAGAAGCTTTCACTAAATAAAGTTTAATTTTACTCTTTGCAGCCTTGGTGACCACCTAACACTTTATGGTTTCATTTTGCAGCAAACAGGATGAGAAAAGTAACACCCACTTTGGCAAAAGTACTCTCAAACGAGCCTAAAAGAAGATCATAGTTATAGCTGCTCACACATTTACAGTTACTCATACAGAACTGCAGGGACTTTATTCAGTCCCCAGAAATGAACAGCTGCACATAAGTAACAAGTTAAGGAGCAGTACCGAGCAAGTATTGCAATAGCAAGCACAGGTACAGGCTGGGTGG